ACAAAACAAAAAAAACTAAAATAAACTAAACAAAATTATAAGAAAAATTAAATTATATATTAATGTTAGTTTTAATTAATATTTTTACATTTTTAAAAAAAATTCAGATGAAGTATTACATTCATATTATAATACCAAATAGTATAAATAATGCAAGAGATGAATAATTTAAATAGCAAATAATACGAATAATAAATAATGCAAAAAAAACAGATATAATGCACGGATAATAAATAATACAAATAAAAAGAAAAAATTTAAATTAAATAATAAATTAAATTGAATAAAAATTAAATAAATAAAATAAAAATTTATTCTGATAATGCGCTCATCTCTTCTCTAACATACCAAGGATGGTAAATACCAAGATCAAACAGAATCTAATTAATCACGTTATACACGGAGAGAAATGATGATTAATTAATGATACGCGGAATACTCATTCATTCATTCATTACTATGCATTTTAATAACGAAATACGTTAGACGCACTGTCGCGATTTCTCGAAATACAAAAGCGTAACGTAATTACCTTGATCGCGTGATAAAACGTTTATCATACATTTTGCTAAGTTACATGATAGCTTGAATTTGTGAGCATTTCACCAATTCGATCGCTCATATATCACGCGCATGTTTCGATCTATAATAGGTGCATATACGATTGTACAACCTTCAGCGTGCACCGGTGCACATTAATGCACCAAACCAAATTAACTATATATTAGTTCTATCTTTTTGTTCTCGTTTTTTCTATTTTCTTTTTTTTTTTTTTTTTTTTTTTTTTTTTTTTTTTTTTCCCAAAGGGATGTTATACATCCCAAAGGGATGTTTTCCCGTTCATTTTTAATAAATAAATAAATAAAAATAAACAAATTAGATGACGCATGTTCAAATATCTCCAATTTAATTATCTTATCTCGGAACGATTGGTTTCGTTATGTATTAAAAATTTACGGAAATTATTAGTGTGAAAAGCCAGCTATACTCGATTTCTTTTTTTAATAGAAACTATGATCACTCTTTATCGTTTTTCTTATGCTGTATATAATTTCGATTTCTCAGCAATGTTTTCTTATATAAACACAATTTTAAAACATTTAGACTAAAATAAAAAGAGCTATTTTAATGCAATTTACTATGCTATTAGCTAGAATGTGTAACATGCGCTAAAAAATGTAAAATTAAGTTACTGTTAGAGAGAAAATTTTACATTCTCAAAAAAGATTTATTGTGAAAATCAAGGTTAATAAGATTTGCGTAATGAAATATTCGATCTATTAAATTGCAGAAAGATTGTTATATTAATTATTTTTTTATTCTATTCCTGGATATCGATTTTTATAAATTTAAAAAAGATAGAGAAAAAAAAGAGATTCTATGAACAAATTTTTTATTAATTTGTTGTGTTAATTTGTTTATAGTAATTTGTTGTATTACGTAAATATATTATATGTAGATTGTATATTGAAAAGTATTATATATATGATTTATATAGATACATAAAATGTATATAAAATATTTTTATATATTATATTATCAAATTATGTGTTTTATCATATAATAAAACAAACAACTTATTTTGTAAATAAAAAGATAGTAACAAAAATTTTTATTATTAGTTATGTAATTAAAAAATATCGATAAAAATTCATATTTTTCATGCTCTACTACTCTACTTAAAACAAACAAATCTCCATTTCAGTAGATTTCGTTCGCACAAGACATAACGGGACATTCAATCAAATCAGTGAAATCCGTCCTAATTTTTAAAGTAGCAATTTCGCGTATGTTTACTCTATATTGTGACTTCTCGGTCAAAGACGATCATTGACCGAGAGAATAGAGAGTCAGATTCCGAGGTTTCGAAATGACTGAATCGCAACCAGGTGAATTACATAACCGGAAATTATCATAATTCTGTAATACTTTGAATATAACAAGGAAATACTGTGTAATGAAGATAGAAAAGTGACAGAGCAATTAAATTTTCAATCCAAACGAAAATTATATAAAATGTATAAAATTATGAAATCATCAGCGCAAATTGCTTATAAACAGTACAAATCTCGTATTACAGTCTCGAACAACAAATTACATTTAACTCGAGCGCAAACGCTTTTACATGATCAAATTATCAATCGCATCCTGTCATTAAATCTTGATTTTCCTCTTATATACTTACAAGAAGATAAAAAATTGAACTCGTTCGAGATGACTGCAAATTACCTAGTTACACGTATATAATCAACAGGGAAA